AAATAAGAGACGACATAATTATTACGTTACATGGGTCGTTTTGTAATATTGTTTTAATAAAAATGCATGAAGTGTTAATTCATAAGTCACGTGAAATTAATAAAAATGCAATAGACTTTTGTAAGCTGCTACATAAAAAAGTATATGAGATATAATTAATTATCAAGTCATCAAGATAAAGTTAATCTTTTAAGGCCTCGTTTACTTGTCTTGATAGGATGAGATAAGGTTGGTTAACCAACTTTATCATACATTTACTAGGTGGTATAGGGATTAAGATTCGGCAGATGTGGCAAGCGCGTCCTACGTTTAAAATGTTGAGTGGCCGGATTTTTTTGTCCCACCATTTTGGCTAAATAATTTTATCCCTGTTTTCAAATTACCCTTTTGTCTAAAAATTACCATTTAAAATGTCCAAAATACTTTCTGTTGTCCATCAAATTACACAATTGGTCATATAAAATATATTTTTGTGTCATTTTCACACAATTCGTTCGACCGACAAACCCTAACGCTGCCCAGGTATGTGTTCTTCATTTTTTTTTTCTTTTTCCGCCCAACTATTTCGAATCATTTGGGCTTTATCAATCCTCTATGAATGGTACATTTGAAAGTCGTGTTTGTCTTGTTCAGGCACCTGTAATTTTCAAGCTTCTGTGTAGCTGAAATTCGCCCCCAATGAAAGAACTCTTCAGTCCCTATTATTTTTTTCCCCTAGATTTTCGAATTACTCTGAAATATGTTGTTTTTTTATGCCATGTATGTTTGAAATACTAAAAAAATCGCTGGATTTTCATTGTTATGGTTTATTTAAAAAATTCCTTCTGTAAAATCGTGTCATTGTGTTAAGAGTTGATGATTTGGGTGTGAATTAAGTGGTGCAGACTGATGCTTTTTAAATACATACCAAAATAATAATTTATATTTAAGAGTACTGTTAGACAGATCTAACGATGAATCAGCCATATATTTTCAATAAATATCATGCTTAAACATCATACTTAAAAAAATAACATAAATAAAATTAGGACATTACAATTTTTTGCAAAAGAAATATAACATATCGACTTGTCTAAACCATCTTATGCAAGAATTTTGTGTATTTTCTAACATTTTTCTCTTTATCTCCACAAAGTTAATGGAGTGGTACATAATTTTGTGGTTGTTTGTACCCAAGCATGCACAACATAGAAAGGGCAATTATGGTACTCGGATAGCACTAATGGTCCATCCTAATAATTAATATAGGTTGTTGGGATTTCAACATTATGTTACTTAAATAGAATGTTAGAATTTGAAACTTTGTTGGCGATTTCTAGCTTCGTGTCATGTTTTTAAACTGTATTTTCCTACTACGCATAATATAATTATATAATTCAG